TGTTGTGCTTATGATAACAAAGCATGTCTAAGACCAGAGACGCTAAATATCAAAATAATCTGATCTCTCACCCTTGGTGAAAAGGAACGTGAATCTAGTGTATTTGCTCTGTGGTCCAGAGCAGAGGAAAACTGTGTACAAAAATGCATTTTTGAAGAAAAACATTTTATTTATTTGTATGCACTATAAATGGTACAGAGATGTAACAGTATACATTATATATTTAACATTTTACAAACATGCATTTGTGAGCAGTTTTGACACTGTTTCCTCATCATTAGAAAAGGATTTGGAACTTTAATTCCCTTTCAAATCATCTGTTGAGCTGTTAGCAGGGAGGTTGATTTGGGATCTTCTCAGTTGATCCTTTATTTGACCCTTTTTTATTAAACCTAAAAAAGATTTCATTGTGTTTTCACACATTAAAATAACCATGTTCATGATAATCTGTTAAAATCTTCTGGTCTTGTTTTATCTTGTTTGTGCTTTGTCAACTCTTTACTATTTTTGAGTCAAATGAGACTGAATGCCAAATACAAAGCGTTAACTCGAGATGTATATTTACATTTACAGTATACACTATTTATACTCATACTGGCTTAATAGTGGGTTCGTCTACAGTACATTTTCACAGCCAACAAATAACACTCTAACCAAAGAGGAACAAACAGGCCTTTTAAACTAATTGCTAACCTTTTTACATGCGTCTACTTGATGATGTGATTCAGCCGCTCTTTTCATGTCATTAGCCAAAGAACACCTCATATCATTCCACAATGCTGAGGAAAAGCCACCATAAATGTAAGTCTCAGATATTGCATTTGTATTGATTCAAGCTTTACACCACAATTATGTCAGGCATTAGAAAAGGCTATGCCTGCAATCTTGTTGTGAATACAAAATCTAATGATGCTACACAAACATGTTACCACACCCATAATGTTAAATCAATGTTTTCAGATTGTCTACCAGAGAGGCACTCTGTATTTCAACTTGTGTGAATCGAAATAAGGCTGTGATACGTTAACATGCAACTCCAAGAAAATCTAGATCAAGAGAAAAAATATATATCACCATTCAGTGAACACAGACGGGTTGTGAGTCACTACTAAGCAAAATCAAACAAATCAGAGGGGGGTGGAACTGAACTGGAAGAAGTGCGATTGCAATCTGTCATCTTTCCCGTACATCTATATCAACAAGATGGAGCCACTAACTTTATCTCTATCTATTCTAACTTTAGTTGTGAAATTCTGCTATTACTTAGTTACAAAATAACTTCTCACATATTCTTCTAAGATAGCTCAACTGCATATCCTGTCCCACAGTGCTCTCAACATGAGGCTGCTGAATGTTATGATGTTCAATATATGGGCATTTCTGCAAGAATGGTTTTTCAATTTGAAGACTTGTCACGATAAATTCCAGCTGCTATTCCGTTCCCTCAGAGTTTAATTCCTGGCAAAATAGTGAAAATGTCTTGTCTGTAGTCTATAATAATCACATTCTCTTTTCATAACCTTCCTTGTTATGACTACCAGGGCATTTGAAGGATAGCAGTCACTTACACAAGCTACAATTTAAATTGGGGGCAATACTTAAAGTATTGTGCTGTGTTTTGAATATTGAATGATGTACAGTATATGAAGGTGACAAACATTGGACTATTAATTTTTCTGGGGGCCTTGGAGAGCCCCTGCTGCAGCAAAGTTACCATCCATTTCAGACTATAGAGCACAGCTTCATTGTTTGTTTAATGTTGCTTTATGACGCAAAAAAAACATTATCTAACTGGCCTTAGGTTTTGTTCATGTCAACAAGTCATTGCTTTGATTAAACATACCATAATTTAGGAATATGAACCATGTGAGTGCAATATAACATTTTGCACCTTCAAAATGGGACATATCATTTTGTTAAAATGCTGGAGGTAAGGGGAAGTCGCCTACATTGGCCAGTTGGTAATCCATCCTTGAATACATACACTTTTATATTCCTTAGGCAGCCTTCATTCGATCTGCAGTGAAATCACTTTGCGCCGGCTGTGCCCTTGTTTCAATAATGGGGGTAACGGTCATGACTGGCTGGGCGTGGGCGCTACCCTGATAGATACTACACTGTAGGTTGCACAAATTGCTAAGCATTGATTGAATTGTGCAAACATAGCAAGCACTTTAAGATTTGCCAAAACCAACACTAATGGTAAGAAAAGATGTAGAAAGGTGAATGGTAATGTTAAATATACGGGCTGTTTGTTCAGTTGTACAAAAACCTTTTTCATTCTTACAAGTAGAAAGCTTGATTTGGGGGGCATGTCAAGCCTAAAAGTGTAATAGCACTGGGCATATGGATGAAATATCTTTAGATCTTCCTTCATTTTAGGGCTTAGAAGCACAGGCTGGCGTTAAAATAAAAGTTATTACATCATACCAAATCTTCTAGTATATTAGTGCAGAGCATAGGTGCTTTTCTTCTGTTGCTGTTATTCCAAGAAAGCCTGCCAAGCTATGATTAATGAGAAATTAAATGATCACCTTCAGTGTCCTCCTTCATTTATTTGAAAAGGAAACATAAAGAAGGACCTTTGCACCTTTTCCTAACAGGAAGAAATGTGTTCCGTTTTATTTTGGGTCTGATTTAAGGAGGGGGATTTACAGTTTATTGTCTGCCAAAAAACAAAGGTGCAGTGGGTCCAGTGTGCCACATTGAGGGTGTTAAAGGTGTTACATTTATAACACTTGTTATAGAGATGGCCATTTTTAAAATGCATCATAATAAATATTTACCCCTGTATTGTAGTGGGTATGGGTTTACGAGGTGTTTATTTATCTTGAGTACAGTTGCTTGATTCCACAGGATTTGTGGAATAAATGTTTATTTTATGTGATATGTAATGGCAGGAGTAGATTGCAGCTGATTTCACTGAGTGGGCACTGCACACATATGCCTGCAACTACCTATATAGACCATAGACCCAACATGTAAAAAAAAAAAAATCCAAATTAAAAAGCCCTACCTACCTTAAGTTCTGCAGGAAAACATGTACCTGTGACTTGTGCAAGTGTGTACTTAAATTAAATCATTCAATATGAAAAAGGGGCTTTTCTACTGTAAGTGAAATGAAGAGCAATCACAAAGGTAAGTGTGAAGGAGAGACAGACAATCAACTTCATCATATGAGCAACGGGAGAAAAAAAGATACCATATCTTTTTGGAAATGTATATGACAAATTCCAAATTACCTACAGAAATTGATCATAACATTAATTTAATTATACATATGTTTCTTTATTTTACTCAGATGTCTTTGATAAATATACAGGGAATACATATTCATGTTTTACTTACGTAAAAAATACTTGTACCATAATGTGAAAATATATATTACAATTGTAGTTACATTTTTATTTGAAAATAGTAAAAATATGCAAGCATCAGGAAAATATAGTTAAAGTATTAAAGTCAAAAGTACTTAAAGGAGAAAACCCTCATCTTTGAGATGCTGTTAACATTTTTACAGGAATACTGACTGAAATGATTGTCAACCAACTCATAGTCAAATAATAGTAATTATAACAAACCCTCATTTTCAAGTGTTTAATTTTATATATTATATATAAGTATTAGCTTTCAAATAAATGTTGTAAAAAAAGTGCAATATCTCCATCTGAAATGTTGTTGAGTAGAAGTAGTCACATTAAACAAAAACAAAACACTCAGTAGAACTTTGAACTTTATTTGTGTTTTGTAGCAAGACATACAGTAGTATATCAAATAAATACTTAAGTACAGTACTTGATACATTTCACCAGTGTAGTGACAACTAAACTGGGCCAGATGGGACCGACATCATTTTCTGCCTCGACCAGCAGCTCCCAGTCTACTTCACTGTTAGATCATGGTTACATTCAACCTAATACAGCTCACACAATGTCACTGAACTTAAAACAACCAAACTGAATTTGCACATTGAAGAAAAAATAAAGGCTTTGAAAAAGCATTTAGTCCATCATGGTGGGAAAGAAAATGTACATAGATTATAAGATTGAGGTTTGATGTGATCATTTGAGATGTGGCTGAGTTCTGGATGCTATGATTTAAGATTGCTGGAAGGCGGAGATTGTTTAATAAGGAGTTGAGACCAGTGTTTAGACATTTACGATTCTGAGGGAGGATGACGGTGTGGGATCAAGGAGAGACAATAGCAATCTGGTATCAAAGGGGGCTGTATGTTTATTTGTTTTACACATTGTTATTTGTTTTATAATAGGAGTCTTGCTATGTTACCGTATTGCATTAATGAACCTCAAAATGGAATCATGCAAAATGGGAGGCCAACTGTCAAAAGAGAGTAAGGGGGACAGCGATAACCTGGGTTGGATAGGAAGCATGAGGTTAGATTTTTTTAAGGATCAGGTGATGTTGTTGGCTTTTACTGGCAATAGTCATAACGTGACTGATAGTAGGGCTGCTCAATTAATCGTATTTTAATCGCGATTACGATTATGGCTTGCAACGATTACGAAAACAACGTAATCGAAATAAAATGATTATTTTTTTATTATTATTATTACTTTTTTTTCTCAAATAATATTTTTTGGTTTTTCAGTTGAATTATACTTCAAGTTCAACTGTTAAAAACATACTGTTCAAAAATGTTTTCTCCAATAAATGGATGTTTTCAAAGTAAATGGATAATCGTTTTTAATAATCGTGATATCAATTATTGACCCAAATAATCGAGATTATGATTTTTGCCATAATCGAGCAGCCCTAACTGATAGTATAAAATAAAGTCTGAGAAAATGTACGCAAGTCTAGATGCAGAAAGGATATTTTCATGTGGTGTAGGTGTTTCCAGGATAGGTGAGCAGCAGCAGCTGAGAGAGAAGGGGCATTCATGAGTTCAGTTATTAATATTTAATTGCGCTGGAGATTATAGTTGTAATCCAGTAGTTGGCAGTAATGCAGCATTTTGCAGGACACCTTTATAACCCAGAGAAGAAGAACTACAACAACAACTAAAACTAGAATAGTGCGTTTTTGTGCAGCTGTGTAGTTTGGAGACGGCCCCTAATGTCTCATAGTCCGGGGTCCAGGTGAAGCCTTTTACCGGTGGCTATTCTCAAGTAAAATAAGCTAGTAACTATTAGCTGATTTAACTACATTTTTGGCATTTGCACTTCTTTCTTTAAGAATACATTACCGTTTCGTTTGTGACTTTTTTAAACCGGTTGTACTGGTTTAACGCCTGAGACACTTTCCTCCCGTGGCTCGCACCCTAACCTCACGAACACATCTGTTCAGTCCGACATGAAAAGAAACGGCGCGTATAAGGTTTTGTCCGTATTGTCGTTTTTCGTCGTGCTGCTGTTTCTGTTTCTGTTTTTCTCTTTAATATTTTACTCAATTACTCTTGCACCTTAAGAAAGACTCAAGAGATACACACACTGACGTTAGCATCTGCTAAACTGTGAGGCTACTTACCCACAATGCACAGCTCTGTTGACAAGTCCCGCGATCACATGATCACCTCCACCAGGAAGTAAGGATTTCTGGTAAGTGCACACACCTCAGCTAGTTATAGTTTCATAGATGAATTCATGTTAAGCCAATGCATCTGGTTTGAGTTACAGGTATTTCGCATTGTGATTCGTTTCTTCATAGATAATCGTCGTGTGTACAAAAAAACAAAAAACCCGTTAGAGCAGTTTAAGTTGTCCCATCTTCTGCTTTCACTGGGGTCTGTTACAAACTGTGTAAAACTACAAATATATCATTTGTTTCTCAAGAGAAGATTACTTTAATGTGCTGGCAGTAGATTTCAATCAATAATGCCAGCTGCTACAGTTTAACAATAGCTATGTTTAGGGTTATAATATAACTGTCAAATCGAGTTAGCTTTACATGTGAAGTTCAAAATCACACATTCACCTACAAAGGCATTACAATGTATGCCACCCTACATCCTTATGCATCCTTGTCCTGTTGTGATTGATTTAAGCATTTATTTAGTTTTTGTAATCAATAGTAAGAGATGTATGGCATAAGAAAAGCCACCCTTTCTTAAAACCAATGCACTGGTTGAGACATATGATTTTTTTCAGTGCTATACCAATGGACTGTTGATTGGTGAATTGACTTAATTAGCTTACTATTTTATCTACACAAGTTAATACATTTGTGGTTTACTTCACTGGGTTGTATATTAAAACTGCACTATCAGAGGTCAGGAGCTAAGCAGCTACTACATTATAATATGTTCTTATTTTGTGCATGTGTTAAGCCCGTTAGTTTCATCATCAGAGGGAAATACAACCGTCTGAAAGTTTGTTGAGGTCACAACAGCTTATAGAGCCTGCAACTCTTTTGTAACCTAAGACTGTTTAATTTCACAGATTGTCGTACTTGGCTGCTCAAACTGTTAGTGAAGTGATGGCATCTGACACCAGTGAAGCAGCGTCCTCCACTCCAGACCTCAAGCTGCAGTTTGCTCCCTTCAGCAGCGCTCTGGAGGCCGGCTTCTGGCACCAGCTGACTCAGAAGAAACTCAACGACTACAGATTGGACGAAAGCCCCAAGTGTATCAAAGGATATTACTACAATGGTGAGTAATCAGATCAGTTTTCGATGACTTTTATCTGGCTGTTGTTTTACTTTGACAATTTAAACAGTTCCGGAGGAATTTCGTAACCTGGTTTAGTGCATTTTAAATAACAACTTTGAAAAATGTATGACTAATTTATTTACATTTCTGTCATAGGTGACCCACTTGGTTTGCCCACTCGCCTGACATTGGAGTTCAGTGCATTTGAAGTGTAAGTATGATGAAGTATAGTGCCTACAGTATAAACCAGGTAAGCTGTATCCTAACCCTAAGTTTAATGAATGTTTCAAATGTAAGTAAAATCCACAGAGTTTGAAACACAATTTGGAACCTGCTACCACTCTCAAATTGACTGATGCCTATTTTAATTGAGTTGACAACAATTTATTTAAGTTATGAATGGTTTCTCATGCTTTTTCTTTCATATATCATTTTTAACTCTGCAATTGGTTCAGAAATAAATACACGTTTGCCTTCATCATTTCAAGTCAAAATTGAATTTAGGTCAAATTATTCAATCTAATATTACTCAATTTGTTTAGCTTTCATAAAAGTTGAGTAATGTTTTTATTGGTACAGAATTATGAATTGGTCTCAATTTTGGGTCGACATCAATTTGGAACAGCTCTCCCCTTCCTGTCAATTGAAAACCTTAAATGAAGCTATATGTAGCATGTCAAAACAAACTTGTACAGTTAGTATTAACAATTTAATGCAAATATTCTGATGTGTTTTCCTGTCAGGGACGGTCCCACACCAGCCCGTTGCTGTCCAACTGTTGGAACGCTGTATAACACCAACACACTCGATGCCTTTAAGACCTCCGATAAGAAGGCTCTGCTGGAGAAAGAGGCCAAGGAGGTAAAATAAAAACATTGGGATTTTCACCCAGACATTCGCATACCAACATCTGTTAAGGAATTTTGGAAAAAAAAAAAAAAATCACTAAGTTGTACATTTGTTTACTTCCTTTTGCTTTGTAGATATGGGATGCTATACAGTCTGGGGCTGCGTTGAAGGACCCGTCCATCCTCTGCAAATTCATCCTTGTGACCTTTGCAGTTCGTATAAACAGCATCTTATACATGTTTTGTTTTATATATGAATTACTTTGTGTTTGACTAGTTTTATATTTGTCTTTCACTCTTTTAGCCATTTTTATTATTTCTTTTTTTTCCTCCAGGATTTGAAGAAGTACCACTTCTACTACTGGTTCTGCTTCCCTGCTCTTTGTTTCCCAGAGGGAATAAAGATTGTGAAACAGCCCTCTGCCCTAGAACAAGTTTTCTCAGCAAAACAGGTTGGCCTTTTTTAAAGATCGTTATCTTCCTCTTTTCTGAAATTATAAAATATTTTCTAAAAAATTTTCTTGACACTACACGCACAAATGTTAATGCTCATTACAAATTATAGATCTAATGTTTGAACTACTGTATAGTTACAGTAGGAGTTAATACTGTTGGCTGTTTTCCATAGAATACAAAAAAAAACGTATTGGCCCTGAAATTCCAATATTATTTCCACTTGTCCAATTGTTTTACCAAATACCACACGATATTACTAAAAAACATTCTTAAGAAAAGGAAATGGAGGCAGCTCCTAACAGTCTTGTTTAAATCTGCTTGGTCTGTCTAATAGTGTGTGGGTTATAGAATAGTATAATGATGTGAAATGAATGCTATTTCTCAGGTCAGTGGATCCAAGAAGTGAAAAGCCTTATTAAGGAAGTCTTAGAATGACTCATGAACAGCATGACTCCAACTGCAAGAGTCTGTTATATAGTACATGGGTAAAAACACCAAACAGTTACTGTACAGTGTATGTGTTCACTAAAACTCTTACCAAAGCCATGGCTGCCGTGTAATGAGAGCTATAATATCCTTTAAACCATGCTTTACTTTATATTACCAGTAAAATATGTCAGAATGTATGCTTTAGGAAATTATAATTATTTTGGGACTGCAGTGTAGATAAGTTCCTACCTTTTCCTGTTGCTTGGCTGACAATAAATGTCTAACCCCTGTGGGTGGTGGACCGAGGTGGGGGGCAGCTGTGGTCTTGATAGTCACTATGATTGCCATTCAAAAGCTCTCTCTATATGTATGTACAGCACCGATCTTATACTTTTAGCTGACTGCCTATGCTTTGTCTCAGATCACAGCCTTGCAGGATGCCTATGACTCAATGTGTATCAAAAAAGAGACCACTGCAGTGCCTTACTTCCTAATGAAGTACACAGAAGACACGGTTCAGATGGCTGCACTCAGTGACTGGGACACGTTCTTCACTGATACTAAGAAGGTACTTCATTTTGTGTTGTGGATAAATATGTTATACAAGAGTATAAAAAAATGTATATAGGGACATTTTTTCCCAGCTTTCAAATATTTCTGCTCTGTTTGATTGGTTTATACAGTACTTTATTTGACTGTATTTTACAACACTCACTTTCTCTCTCTCTCTCTCTCACACACAGACAGAATCCCTATTTGGTAAAGTAAACACACCTTGTTTGTTTTTTCTAGGTTACTGTGGGCGTCTATGATCCGTGTACTCTGTCTCAACATCCGGGCTGGCCTTTGAGAAATCTGCTGGTCCTCTTAGCTTACCAATGGTAAGTCCCTTCCTTCTTGTGTGTGTGTTTTTTATGCTAGTAAAAGAAGAGGAAGTTCTCTAAAGGATTTTCTTTTTTTATAAACACATGCTAAGTTTGTGAATTTCACTGAGTGTTTTTCTGATTACATCGACTATTTTATTTAGGCACAACGCCACAGAAAGACAGGAAATGCCTGCTTAACTAATTTCCTGACTCTCAAGTGTAGGAAGCTGGTCTGATTTAAGATGTTGATGTGATCTTCCAAAGTGAATGGCGATACTTGCATAGCTTTGTATTATTACAGAAAACTAAAATAACAGCTTCACTGGCACACTTATTCCTAACGGTGATGTTGTTAGAGTTTCACAGTTATGAGAATAATCAAAGCTGTACGATTCTGATGGTCCATTTTGCGCAATATCTTACATGTTGCTAAGTCATAGTTTTAAAACAAAAGTAATTCTTTCCAGACTATTCTTTTGTGAATTTTTAACCTTGCCTTTAGACATTTCAACATGAAATCGTAATTGCTAGCTACAAAAACTATTTTATCCACCCAAAGATTAAGAATATTACTCAAAAATGGACAACTACATAGAACATTACAGCGCATACATGTATGTACATTACCAAGGCTTTGTGCTTGTGATCATTGCTACAAGTAGTTGATAAAATGGCTGCCTTGTTAACACATGCCAGACCGATCTATGACACATACAGTAGCACACAGCAGCTGCTGTCAATGGACACCATACTGTAGGCTTCCTAGTGGAAACACGCAAACATAGCATGCAATATGCATGGCATGGGAAGGCAATGCATTTTGGGATTCTTGAAACTCCTGATACTCGCAAGCAAAGTATTTAGCCACTTAATGCTACACATTTTCTAAAATATTTGTTTCTATCAACTGAAGTTGTTATAAATGTTTCTGTCTGAACCACTGTTGTTTTGAAAGCAGGACTGGTCTAGTAGCAGGAATCTGAGAGGGCATTTTGTACAAGTCCAGCAGAACACACATGAGCCGTCTTGTTTTGTGAACAGGAGTAACAGATTGTAATGTATTCTGTTACAGCTCATAAATTACTACAGTTGTTTACAGACTCAAGTGGTCGTGCACATGATGGTGGTATGTGGAAGCTTGTGTGGGCTTTGCAAAGCAATATATTTTTACTGAAGTATTTACAGAGAAGAAATGTGAGCACACCACGGATGAGTGAGTGCAAGTGCTTGGATCAAATGTTAAGTAATACATCTAAGAAAGAAATGTCTGAGCATTTCTTAAAATGTGTACACAGATGATTTAAACCAAATGGCATGCACTGTTATAATAATAATAATAATAATACATTTGATTTATATAGCACACTTTAAAAACAACGTCATCTCAAGGTGCTTCACAAAGCTATAAGGAACAATAAGTAAAAAGTTATCTAAAGGAGCATATTGGATAAAATATGGCAATACTGTTGGTGTCATGCAGGCATTTTAATATCGTACTTTATTGTAACTTTTGCAATTGAGAGTTTATTTTGTGCAATGTTTTCTCAAGGTAATTCTGTAGTTTAAAGGCTGCATGAAAGAAAAATCGAAAATTGGTCAAATTGCATCTGAGATTGTAAGAAACTATTTGAAAAGACAGATGCAATATTAGGAAAGTAAAACTGAAATTGTTCTGTTTGCCAATGGTGGGATAACTTAGACTTCTAAAATACCCAACATGGTATTCTGTTTGTAACAAATGATGCGGCCTACTTGCATATATAATTTATTGTTGATTTATACAAGGCTTTCCTTAAAGTGTTTATTGCCCATCACATCTCATATTATCATTTGAGACAGTTCCTTATGTTGTTGCACAACATATTATATCTGCTTCTCTAGTGCCATTAGAGAAGCCTGTAGTCAAGGCTTCTCTAATTGATATTTTTGCCATCTATGACAAATCAATTATATCTCATATTAGTGTCCTCTATTTCCAATAGATGCTGTGCCGTGCTTTATTGTTATTAAGCATGTTTCTTTCCTAAACCCTGGGTTATTTCATTTATTTTTTCCGGTTTATAAGTGGAAAACAATCTTAATGCGCTTTACAGAGTTAAACATGCACACCGACCGACAAAAAGTAAAGGACCAACTAAATACATTTTCAAAAAAAAGGTTAATTCTTTAAATGTCCAATTGATATACAACAGAAGAGTATGTAACAATGTGATAACTATGATGTATTTCTAATCTTAAACAAGAACAAACTACATATATCTCCAAATTGATCTTAAATATGTCTACATTACTTGATCATATAGCATCATCATCTGAGGTTGACAATAAATGATCAGTCGCTTCACATTTCATGACTGCCATTTCAATGAAGTTTAAAAATGCTATACTCCTCTCTAAATTCAGGTCCACAATACATCATTTCTTTCCTTAGGGAGTTTGGTTTTTCCTGGCACTTGTGTTGCTTTGTTAGTGATATTTTGATTGCATAATTATTTTTCATTTAAACAAGGAACTCCCACTGGGAGCAGTTTAGCAATAGTATGCCTTGATACCAGTAGCTTATCAGCAGCAAATACAGATAAGCGCTTATGCTTCGTATTGAGCTGCAGATTTGATCAAATACAAACTTCATCAATCTTTTTTCTGTCAGTGTTAAACATAAACTGTTGATGCTGGCTGAGATGGGTGAAGAAAGAATTAGAATGTAGACGCAAAGTCTCGCTTATTCAGTCTTTCCATTGCAGTCTGATTGTGTAATAATAATAATAATAATAACTTGAATTTATATAGCGCCTTTCATAACCTCAAGGTCGCTTTACAAAGAAACATACAAGGACAAGACATAAAACATAAAACGGGGCAGAAATGGAAGTGTAAGTGGGGGGGGGAGAGTGAGTTATTGTTGGAAGGCGATGTTGAACTGTGTGTAAAGTGACTTTGGTCATTTAGTACCATATTAGGGGAAATGTTTTGTGTGGATTTGTGTTGATCATATTTTTGTGAGTGCTCAGTTATCAGTGTTGTTTCTTGCATTAGCAAGGGGAAACAACATATTAAGTTGTTTTTGTGAGATTTTTCTCATTTCTTGTTTACACTATATAGCTTCTAATTTGGGCATGCTGTGTTTTTTCGTTGTTTGACTTTTGCATATCCCTTATTTTTGTGTGTTTTTCAGGGGCTCTAAGCTGGACACGGTGGAGGTGCTGTGTTTCAGGGACAGAACTCTGCAGGGGAGCCGCTCCATTCAGCACAGTGTCATCTTCCAGATAAAACTACCTGAGCTTCCCCTCAACTCAGGTAATTGTATTTCTTTAATGTTTGTGTGGTTTTACCCGTAGCAATGAATGTTTATTGCCAAGAAGATAATCACCCTAATTTACCACAGTTACCAATTGATTTTCAGGTAAAAATCTTTTTTATCAAACAAAGCCCTGATTTCAATTTCACACTGCTCTACATTTCATCTAATGAACGCATCTTTACATCAAAAAAATGATTCAGGGAATTACGTTTCCGCCTGTTTGCACTTTTTTGTTTGTATCCCTTCCACTCTGGATGGTAGCCACATTTAGGGATGTTTCACTAGCTGCTGCTGTAGGGTACAGATTTAGGCATGGCATATCCCCAAAAGTAAAGCCAAAACATCTCGAGCGCCCCCTGGTGGCTGGCTGTTAGTTTAGGGAGCGCTTGATTTGACATGCAGCAGGTTTTCTATAGAAAGAGCAAGCATGTTAAATTCACTGTCACAATAACATGAATATACTTGTCAAATGCCGTGATCACAATGAATGTTTAATTATTGTGCAGCCCTAATCCGTCCATACTATGCTTCTGTGTTCTTCATAGCTTATTTTGCACTGACACTTTGCATCCTTTTGAAACCACACTAATCTCACACAGCCTTTCTAGTATTCCTTTATCCTGTGAATAAGGCATGAAAGTAATTTAAATGGTAATAGCAGCAAAGGGGGTGGAGGTTGTTGAGATCAGACGACGTGTCTTTGTTTACTTCGGTCTACCTCTTCAACACAGCGTTGCCTTTAATTGACTCACAGAGAACGTATTCATCCAACAACAAAATTATTCAGCCTTATTGTTTGATTGTGCATGGACAGATTTGGTATTGTTTCCAAATGGCTTAATAAGGATACCTCAGACACAACATGGTCAGTACTTGCCACGACCAAAAGTGGTTTACTATTTGGCAAGATTAAATACACTTCAAGTTCATTTACATTAACAATCTCATATGGTATAATTCAACACTATTTTCACAGTTTAATTTGTACAATCACACAGTAGAGAGAAATCAATTCTCATCCGCCCTCTTACTGTTGAAATGCTTTCAATACTTTTTTTAAATGAACTTTTCCTTCTTGAAAAATAATCTTCAAAGATGACAGAATAACAAGACACACAGCCTTGACATTTTCTTTGAGTGTTTTCAGATAACACAGGCATAAATGTCAGGGCTACACAAATCAAAACTTGAAAAAGAAAACAAACATTTTAGCAATTTTGTAATGTGGGCGATTATCGTTTTTCTTTAGTTTAACTTTAAAACTGTCTCCACAGCTCTCACTGTGTAATAGGTAATGTTATGCCTAATTAACTTGATCAATGTTCTGTTTTCACAGCGTGTCCCAAGAACGTAGGTTGGGAGAAGAACCCAAAGGGGGCCATGGGTCCAAGGATGGTCAACCTCAGTGAATGCATGGACCCTAAAAGGTAATAACTACAAAAAAGAAATGTGTGAAAGGTGCAACAAAATGGACACTCATTACTTTGTGAACAAATGTCTTCCTTGGCTCTCTCCAGACTTGCAGAGTCCTCAGTGGACCTGAACCTGAAGCTGATGAGATGGAGGCTGGTTCCTACCCTGGACCTGGACAAGGTGGTCTCCACAAAGTGTCTCCTGCTGGGGGCCGGGACTCTGGGCTGCAATGTAGCCAGGGCTCTCATGGTAAGAGTGGGAGGATAACACTCAGATATATAGATTTTTGGATTCAAGCATGCAGGAATTTGACAGTGTGTTTCTAGAGCTGTGTTTGCTATGCTTGCTATGTGACATACTCGTCAGAATCAATGCAATGGTGCAAATGAATCTCTGTGGTTATACCTGCAGATTGGAGTTTTACAGAAATGTTTTGTCGCTTGAATATTCTACCCTCCACAAAACTCATCCAGAGTCTATTTTCAGTGAGCTAGCTCGACCTGAACCAAATGAATAGGATTGTAATGGATGACTAACTCTGAAAGACTTTTTTATTTCTCCCAGAGTCTGTAAAAGTGAACACGATTTAAGTGGCAACCTAACTTGTTGGAATAAAACAAAAATGTCTTTAAAGATCAAAACATTCCTAACAAAAAAAACAACATTTTCAGATGATGTACGACCAAGTCCAATCTGACACTTTAATAGACTCCACTATCAAAAATACAAAGACAACTATAATGTATTGCTTTCAAGGCTGCACCGGAAAAATAAGCAACATTTTTCTTTTTGTGCTCTTACTCTTCTGTTCTGAGGGCACTTATTATTACCCTCTGTCACTCAATGTGAACATGATGAATACTCTGGTGTAACTTAATTGATATGGTGGCTAGAGCTTGTAACAATAGAGAGTGATTTTAATCAGAAAGCTAGAATAATTGAAGTCTGTGCTACCTGCACACTGATGTATTCATTATTCCAATATGAATGGAAGCATTCATTTCTAAATGCACACTGAGAACATAACCTCCCACTCATTGTCACTGAAGCTGCTAACAAAGTGTCAATAAATAGAGGTTCAAAATGATGTGATTAAAATATGAATGTTTTTTCTCCAGGGATGGGGAGTGAGACACATCACATTTGTAGACAACGCGAATATTTCATACTCCAATCCAGTCCGGCAGCCGCTCTATGAGTTTGAGGACTGTCTCGGAGGAGGGAAGTCCAAAGCCCTGGCAGCTGTGGACCGCCTCACCAAGATCTTTCCTGGTGTGGTGAGTACTTGAAGTCAAGTAATAATGGCCAGGCTGTGGAATATGATCTCACATCATGTGGGGATCAATCATCCAGGATCCTACCAATCTGTCTTTGTTGGTTTAATACCTACATTTGACAAGTGCTATGTTTATATTTTTTGAATTTGTTGCAACAGCTCCTTTTATATATATATCAGCATTGCCATTATAACAATCAAAATGTTGGTTCGGCTTATAATCCAATTCCCATATAATCATATTCCTTTTTGATTAGTCATGGCTGTGAAGTGCTCCTTGTATATTAATGCTGCAGTCTCATTAATTTGTTAATTAATGAGTGGGTTCTCTGGGGGAGATATTTTGCTACATTACTAAATGAAGAAACAGCCAAACACTCCGTTTTAGTGCAAAACTATCGCTTATTAAGCTACTTGTAAAAACAATGACGGATGCATATTTATGATGTGAATTATGGGAACATTGGTGTGATGATGCATTCATGTTTATCAGAAGATGTAGGCAGTTCATAAGAGGTTGATTCACTTGAATTTTGCCTGCACTCAAATGTTATGTAATTCTGTGATTCAGTAAACCATTTGCTAAAGTTGTAACAGCTTCTTGTATAGCAGTTATTACACATGTTGATACTCTGGTTTAAATTTCTTCTATACTCCTACTGAAGTATATCTTTTCATCCAGAAATGGTACCTGTCATTGAGTATATTTAAAGGAGTGTATTGTTACTGCTAATACGCTAATGTAAATGATCTAAGTTCTCTTTCCCATACTGTTGTGATACCAGGAGGTGTTCCTGATATATATTGCCATACATTCAGTCAGCAGTTTTTTATAATGTTTTGAAGCATCACCTTGAAGTGTTACAAACTCAAACATTTGGTATGCAATGTAGAGCTCAGTCTGAGGAACTGAAAGTTTTAACTCAGAGGCGCCTTGTGCCAGTCAGGCAGACGGCAGTTAGAAAACACCTGGTTAGTTTTTATGTGAAAGCACTTAGAGACTCACTCACTGTCTGACCGGTAAACTATTATCGGATTTCCCTTGACCTTAGAAAGACTAAAGCCTCATATAAAAGTTGTACACCCTGCAGACTGTGAAATCTCTGTAATAGGTTTTTCCTGAACATGATACAATGGGTCTGGATAATAGTCACCAACAAGAATATGTCTTATGTCTTCCTTACGGCCCATTTACACACACGCACAAATAATTGGCATGTCATCAAATCTATATCCCTGTTACTTTGCTGCCCTTGTAATTTGTTCCTCTCCTTTTCTTCTGGGAATGACATGAAGTGAAGAACAGAAGGTTTAACACTTGATTGATTGCTCTGCTTTCATGATGTTTGTCTCGAAAGTTCGTTTGTCCACAGGCTATACAAGCTGCACCCATACCTGCCCTTCTATTTTTATCAGTGTGTTTGAGTGTGTGTGTGTGTGTGTGTGTTTTTCTCTCTTCCTGCCTTGTTTAGCTACAAACACAGTGGCACCAGGTGTGAAAGAAAGATACAAATATAAACTCTGATAGCAGAGAGCACAGAAATGCACCGATTGAACCGAGAGGCGTCGGTTCACACAAGGTCACAATGTTGAAAAGGTCGTAAACAGATTTAATATTTTGTCTGCGGACAAATACTGATACCTGACATTTAAAGGATATTTTGTCGTGTTGGCACCAACCCCTTTTTTCCTCTTTTTACATTTTATCAACAGTGAGGTCAGAGCTGCTTGAAGTATCGACAGTGGCATTGTTGGATTATCAGTGTTTTTTCTCCTTGGAGGGAGATATTTTTCCACAATGGGAATGATTTCTTGTTTTATTTCTTTGACTTGAAGTGTTTGTAGTGGCACTATGAATATGATTAACATCACTCCTCTAAAATAAACTACCTCCACAATGCTTAGCAACACTTGCGTCAGAGTGCAATGCAAATTCCAGCCGGAGTTAACACTCCCACTCTTGACACATTTACAGCGAAGGCAGTGTGTAAATTCCTCTGATTCGGTAAAAGTGGCATTCCTTCTTGTTAAGATCTCACACCTCGTCTTTGCCCTTTTCTCTCCCTCTCTTCACTGTTAATTTACTCTTGACATTTAGTTTGCTTTGATGTCATTCCTGCAATCCCTGGAGATAGTTATATATATATATTGAGGTTTGGCAATTGACAATAAAAGTAATTTCAGATTTTTTGTGGAGCTTGAAGTGGAGATTCAAGGTTTCCTTTTATACTTTCCCATCGACTTATACAGGAGAGTAAATGTATGTGGACTCAGGGGTGCTGTGGCCATGAGGTGAAGAAATATTCCCCAGAGGGACAGTTCGGTGACTGCATCTGCTCTGCCATCACGTATCTGTCTAGACTAGCATCTCACTCAGCAGAGGCACATCAAAAGACCATTTTGGCTTTGCTCACTTTTTAGCTTCTGACTTCTAACAGCAGCTGATCCATTTTCTTTCCATAAAAAGACCCTATAGGACATCAAATGTTATAATACATTTTGACACAATGTAGGTTTTTTTTGTTATCACTGTCAATAAAAGTGTTTTCAAAACCTTCCCAAACTTAACAATTTTGATTTCTAGATGCAACACTGTGGAATGTAAATGCTTGAGTGATTTTTAAATGTACTGTATGTATGGTTCAAATACTTCAGATGTGGCATTTTTTATGATTGAGAATGTACAGCTATTGCAAATATAAAACCAAAAAGAACACATTATCTTCCATGGAAAAAAAATAGTTGAATACAAAAAGGACTACATTTGCACAACTCATGGAGCATTCATCTTCTAAGTGATGAGACCCGTTTCTAATTCCGTGTCTCCTTGTTTTTCCTCTTTGTCTCTGTCTACTTCCTCAGAATGCGGAGGGATTCAACATGAGCATCCCTATGCCCGGTCACCCGGTGAATTTCTCTGAGGCCACTCTTTCCCAGGCCCAGAAGGATGTCGAGCACCTGGAGAAGCTCATTTCAGAACACGACGTGATCTTCTTACTAATGGATACGAGGGAGAGCCGCTGGCTGCCCACAGTGATAGGTGCAAGCAAGAGGAAGGTAAGAACAACAGAACAGCCACACACACATTGACCAGCTTGGGGAGGAGCAAAATAAGGTTTAAAAGTATTTTGGAGAAACTGTCATGATCATATTCTCAGGGGACAAATAATATCTTGTTCTAACAAAATGCACTTTTCAACTTAGCCCACACAAATGTTTTTCCATCTGTCGGTGCTTTTGCTAGACAAACATTTGCAACTAACAATGATGGGGAACAACGATGACTCATCTATCACCTTAAGAATATTCAATTTACACTTATCATGTGGCCAGAAGCAGGATGTCAAATGTGTTGTTTCCTGTTCAGTGAATTGTTTCGAATTGTCTAGACAAAAACACAGCATTTAGTGTTAGAAAAAGATTTAGTTGATCCCCATCAATTGTGTCTGTTATTGTACTTTGATATCACAAATGCACATTAGTTTGATGGTGGTGCTTATGTTAAAGTGGACCTATCATGCTATATTTGAATAATATAGTGTAGGACCATACCTATATAAGGCATATTTATACTTTTTTTTTTTTCAAAATACCAAACAGATCATGCATTTTAGCCATGCCTCATTTCGCTCAATTTGACATTTTTTAGATCTGTTTTAGCAAGGGTTGATTCTGTGAGCAACAGCACCATCTAGAGGCCTGGCATATGTACTACAGCGTCTCCAGCGCTTTCGAACGGCAATGCCGTGGCTGTCTCCTCCTGATTGGTGGAGTTGGCCCAATAGCCGTAGCACCACTGTCCTGACGTCAGGAAAGTGTTCAAATCTGGATCAGTTTTTATCAGATCCGTTGCAGCCCCTTTTTTAGAGATTTGGGTATGGAGGAAAATAGAGAGGGTTGTGTTTTCTGACACTTGGTGAGTTCCCTGGAACACCGGGGACACATATTCATGTATAAAAGACGTACAAAAGTGCATTTTGCATGATAGGTCCCCTTTAATTCAATGGATCAGGACTGAGTCTTTTAACACTTTGCTCTAAGGATCAATGCAGCACTGTAACAGGGATCATGTATGACTTAGTAAAATTGTTCTTGTTTTCCTTACTTGAAGCTGGAAGTTGAATTGAACTTTTCTTCCAGTAAATTGAAATAGCTCGATACCTGTTTACCAGTTGAAATGATATTAGTTGCCAGGCAACGTGAAATAATGGAACTTTTTGTCATTAATTTGTAAAGCCCCTAGTGCTATCACTGATGCTGCTATATTGCTAAATGCAGTTAAGTGTTCTTTGGACCGCTGATTAGGTTTTCTCTCTGGCCGAGAGGTTATTTGGCCATTTGTGCTGCGGGGCTGTCTCAGACTTCTCCGCGAATTGGCCTCATAATTTATTCTCGTTGCTTCTCCAAAAGTCTAGATGCTTTCAACATTGTAAAGAGCCTATTAATGTTTTGTGTAATTTCTTTCTGAAACAATTTAACACATCACAACCATTTTAAATTGTATAACACTACACATTTAGTTCATTTAATTTGGCTGAAATGTGTAGTGTGAGAGTTTGGGAGAAATAGTAAGTATTCCTAATAAAGCCAAAGCTATTCAGGATCGTTTTCAACCACAGTGTGTAAAGATCTTTTGTCATCGTGATTTGGTGTGATCGTTGTGTTTCCCCCTTTCAGCTTGTGATGAACGCCGCTCTAGGCTTTGACACATTTGTCGTGATGCGCCACGGCCTGAAGAAACCCCCCGTCAGTCAAAGTGTTTCTGCAGGGGCCGACTCCTCTACTTCCTGTTCTTCTGCCTCCTCTTCATCCTCCACACCCGCCGGCGCTGCACCTACTGTCCCAGGATCCTCTCTGTTCTCCAACATCCCAGGGCACAAGCTGGGCTGCTACTTCTGCAACGATGTGGTGGCACCAGGAGATGTGAGGAAAACACATTGATACCAAGCATGCACTCAACTCACGTCATTGATACCAAGCATGCACTCAACTCACGTCATGAACAAACACACAGCCAAAACATTTTTTTTCCAATCAACACTCTTGGCAGTTTTCAGCAAAAGGTTCTGATAAACCATTTGAATGTTACCTCACCAGCACCCAATGCTTTACTGATGCAGTTAGCAACTAGCTGGTAAACATAGTGGAGCTTTCAGCAGCTAAAGAGTCAGATATTTGTTTCAGTAGTTGGAGAAGATTCAAAACAGAGCTCAAAAGAGGATGAATATTGAGTACTTACATTTTTCCACAGCCCAGAAGCACAAATTAAAGTAATGCAAATGTTGTGCTGTGCTAACACAGGATTAATATATTACATTTAGAACGTGATGTTTGAGTTTAAAGCTTGATCTGTTGCCCCAAACTGATCAACAAACTATATTTTTATACTAACTATAATCTAAATAATTATGCAGTTTTAAATTGCAAGGTTTATGGTATTTCTTTTAATGTGAATATAGTTGTTCTTATATTCATTGTCATAAGCTGAACAACTGTACAAAGGTGCTATGTGAAATTACAGGGAAGGTGCCTGACACAGCCTTTCCTTTTTTCTTGCCACCCACATTCTACCTGTGTCCATTTTTTGTACCTTTGACACTCTTTGTTTCTCTCTGTGGTGTTTTTCCCCTTCATGGCCTTTTGATTTGAGAGCATGAAAGCAATTCATCAGCTATTTAACGACAGCGAAATTGGTTGGAAGCTGTGCTATTCAGCTCTGACTCCCATATAAATGCCGATGGCCGCAGCCCGCTGTCACAGGTCATAGTAATATTAACATTTGAATCAGAGTCACAGCCTGCTCTCGCTAAAGCTGAGTATGCTGAATGTATAGGAACTTATGGATAATGTCCCGAATGGCTATTGTGTTGTTTTGTCTGTGGATGGTACAACAATGGAGCTTGTCTATCACTGCTGTGTCTTTGATCAGTTCCTATTACAAAGTGAGACATGCTGTGAAGGAAACAAGCTAACATGCGTTTCTGTCTTAGTGTTTGTAGCCATCAAATCAAATCAAATCAAATCAAGTTTTATTTATAAAGCACATTTAAAAGCGATTTTCGGTCGAGCCAAAGTGCTGTACATGTAATAAAAACACATCTACAGCTACAGGAATAGCATGCATATTTAAAAAGCTATTTCACTGAAAGGACTCCACTACCAGTCATTTTGAAATAATTGCTCACTCAACCTCAGCCACTTTGGATAACAGCATCATCTATATCTGTTAGACATACATTTCAATGATTTCCTGCGTTCCAAAACACTTTATTTGTGATAAGCTAATTGCCCAAACCTTTTTTCTCCATTCCTTATTTTCGCCAAGCTCTTTCAGGATAAGTGGAAGGAACGTGGCGTCATGACTGCTCTTCTCACTGTTTATTGACTGTTGTTTACTTCTACTACTTGTTTTTTTGTAAACAGTCAACCAGGGATCGGACTCTGGATCAGCAGTGCACGGTCAGCAGACCAGGCCTGGCCATGATAGCTGGAGCCCTCGCTGTGGAGATGATGGTGTCCATACTGCAACACACTGAAGGGTAAGCACAGCACACTTATTAGTATTAGTAGTGATAGTAGTAGTACAGCAGCCATAGTATGGAGTCTCGAGTTGTACAATATGACCTGAAGCTTGCTTTGATTCAACAAGAAATAAAGATGTAAGGTAAGAAAGAGACATCAAACACTGTTTAAAACAAGTGTAGAAAATATATGTTCAATAGCTTAAACGCTTTACAGAGAATTACATTCAAAGTCTTAGAATAAACAGAAACATACTTGATCATCCCTGTTTGCTTTATTGAAAATGTAAATTGTGCACTTTTATTGATGGTTTCCTGTCTACTATCTCTGCGGCAATCCAATGTTAGATTTAATGTACATTTAAAACAGGGCCAATTGTATATGGCGAGCCACAGCCTTTCCTGTTGCAACTCCTTAGTAAATAGAACCTTGGTTCCAAAATATGTTGTATCTAGTTTTGATTTATTTCTGAATAAAACTCTTAAAAAAGATCCTTGCTAACACAAACTCCGACAGTCACTTTCTTTAGTGAGTCACCAGTAGGAGGTTAAAAGCAAAAAGGACTGAATTTATAAAGGGCTTCCTACTCTTAGCAAGAACTCAAAACACTTTTCAGCACAAGCCAATTGCCACACTGGTGGCAGAGGCTACCATACAAGTTGCCACCTGCTCCTCAGCGAATAACATTTACACGCACTAAAGCACCAATGGATGTGCCACTGGGAGAAAATATGGGGTTCAGTATTTTGCCCAAGGATAAAACCGCTCCCCTTCCGATTGGTGGACTTCCTCCTTTTGCCTTTGAGGTTGTGCTTCTAAAACTTTCAGCAAGCTTTACTTTGCTTTTTGATGGTGCCGCCCTGCAGCTGAGGTATTATTGCACTGCAGGTATATTGTTGAATGCAGTTGTAGCACAGCTCCCTAAATGTACTCGAGGCCAACAACTCGTGTACACTGTAGAAGCTTTGTTGCAATTTATAATCCATCTTTCACTTTCATGCCTCAAAAGCTTGAACACTCTGATTCAGTCTGCTCTCAAGTTCACTTGGCAATCTGTAATAGCTCGATTTTCCCTACTCGTAAAAGTGCTTCTTTTTTCAAACACTGAAGGGGATGTTTTCATGCTTATTAAATGTGCACAGATGTGTCATTGTGGAAATGTAATTGTGTGTGCACGTGTCGGTGGAAGTCGTACGCTTGCTGGGGCTGATGAGACAGCTATTTTCTCTCAGAGTGTTTTGAGATGTTCTAAGCCGTTGCAGAGCTACGCTGCCTATGCTGGATAAAAAGCTTACAAAGCAATGAAGAGAAGGAGAAACTTTATGTACACACTGTACCTCTATGGTTGTGTAACCCCTTCCTTTACATCAGGGGTGTCCAAACTACGGCCCGGGGGCCAAATGCGCCCCGTTGTCCATTTCTAATTGGCTCAGCAAATTCTTAAAGTATAATGGTATATGGCCCCCACCTGAAACTCGTGCTTGTCTTATATTATACTTCTTAAATATATATGTGAGCCTATATTACACAGTAGTTTTCATGTGTTAATACGCCCACTACTCAAAGACATTCAGTCAAGAGCTGACAACATGTTCTAACAAATCTTAGTTTTATTTCCATAACAAGCTTTAAATAGACCCTTCATATTTCCCCTTATCATAAGCAATCTGAGGCTTCTGTTTTAAGGGATGAGCTGCAACAGGATAACTGAAACCCTATGGAGAGCTGTGATGTTTCTTAAATCATATTCAAGTAGAAATATAATAATAATTGACCTACATTTGATTGATTTTGCTGAATTATAATTTAACCTATGAGGCAGTATACCTCACCTCTAGTGAGGGGCCCAGCCCTTTGTATGTTTTTCTGTATGTGGCCCTCAGTGAAAAAGGTTTGGACACCCCTGCCTTACATGAAGATCTCCTCCTGCAACTGCCCTCTGTGTCCTTGTTTTTATTTCATAGCTGTTCTATTCCTTTCTTTCTTCCCCCATCTCTTTCTCCCTTTTGAAGCCATTACGGCAGCCTTATAAGAGCAACCATGGGCTTTAGAAATGGTCACTGAAGGATTCATTTTCTATCAATACGATGGCCACTTTGCAAAAACATTCTGAGGCCATTGTGTTGTTATCCTTGAGTCACATCTTTGAAGCCTGGCTAGATTTACTGGCAATCAGTTGCTCTCAGATCAAATCGTGTTAAACTGTTTTTGGGATATCTTGGATCTCAATATTGGTCAAATTCACAGCTTTTTGTTTTGTATATAATGTAGATATACTACACCCATGGATTATAAATAAACCGTATGCATTAGTTTAAATGCTAGGCCAATACCTTTCATACAATATGATATGTAATGTTTAGGATTATTTTATTATTTAAACAAGTTGATATAAGTATATAATGTTCTCCCTCTTTTTCTCTATCCTCAGAGGCTATGCAATAGCCAGCAGCAGTGATGACAGGATGAATGAACCTCCCACCTCTCTGGGTCTAGTGCCACATCAGGTCAGACACACACATCCAAACTCACACACACACACGCACACGCACACGCACACGCACGCACACGCACACGCACATTAAAGCAGTGGTCATATAGACCTTTCCTTGCTGGAGATCACTCAAAAGTCAATCGTTTAAGGCATCAAGTAATGCCTTTGTTTCAAAACTACAATTTTATTGAACAATCAGGGTTGTGTAACAATTCACGTGTCAGACTGGCTTTTTCCAATAGTTCGATTGACAGATCATTCATCCAATCACCTGCCATGTATTTCTTAAGGTTGCCTGTCCTTTCACAGCTGTTTCCTTTGACGTCTTCTCAGAATATTGTGTGCCTTCTATTGTGTGTACACCAGTTCCTACAATAAAATGCACTGTTTAACTTATAATAACATATAAAGGTATTTTTGACAAAAAAGTACTTATACAGTACAAGCAGTGGCATCTTTAGCAACATGCATAGAAACGGTTACGTTTAAATGGAGATTTACTGAAAGATTTGCCTCTCGGATGGAAACTGAAAGTGTTGCTGAGCGATGCCGAGTTGAGCGCTGTTGCTTGTTGCCTTTTTGAATAATTTAAGTGAACATCCTGTCAATCATGGCCTTGGTTACAAGTCTTGTTTCATTATGAACAAGAGTAAAGGTCAGTTTTTGCTATTATTTATATTGTGCATAAATATATGCACAATATAACAGCCCTGCAATATATATATAACTTATTTCCAATGATTATCTGACACATTGACTTCAGTCGTTGGTGTGGCAACGCAAATCTGTGGTACATTTCAAGATGCACTTTGTGGTGATGCTTTCTCAGGGCTGCATTCTATTGAACCTACTTACCTAATTTACACATATAGTAGCAGAATAATACCTCAGTAAGAAACCACATGCACTCAGTACAACAGGACTGAACATGTAAAAGCTGCATTGGATGTATTTAACTACATTGCATACATTCAAACACATAGATACTTGTTCTTGTAAGTAAAAGAGGCTTTATACTTCTACTTCACTACATTACTACTATTAGTGGTTATACTTTGTTGCTTTGCTACTCTATAAGTAGGGTAAGTCTATGAGTAATACAAGCTATACATACCTTATCTAGGGCCTACAGAGAGAGACTTTTCTGTGCTATGCCATCTACTTTCCCTTTAAGAATTCTCAGCTTTCTTAAGAGATACATTTTAAAGCAGGATCTCTAATGCTTCTGAAGCCTGCTTACCATTTCCGATTATCTCAGTCCTGGCACCCACTTCAACTAAGCATTAGCATCCTTTAGCTTCAGTTTACAGTTAGCCTAGCATTAGCAGCTGGTGGTGACCCTCCATCTTCCACAGTCACAGCACCTATTATTTTGTTTTTCCCACTGTCGTGTTAACTGATTGTAGGACTGTTAACTGTAGACTTAATAATAAATAGCTTTGTGCTTTGACTGTGTTTGTACTGCAGTCAGTTTATGCAAAACAAAATTATGTGATAAATCTCAAAGTCCATCCCCCTGGCTAAGCCTTTTAGACATCAACAAATCACTGACATTGTCTTCAGTTGAAAAAAATATATATATATATATTGTAATTTTAATGGTCACTCAAAATGATATTCTAAATGAAGAGGCTCCACCTACCCGAAAAACCTTCACAATTGAGAGAAGATACAGCTCTGTGTTATATGACCAGAAACATGAATAGCCTACCATTAACTGTGAGAGGAAGACATTTTATAACACGCACTGTTGCTTTCTGTGTATTATCTATTAGAATGTATTTCATCCTATGAATTATGATATTTGAAACAGGGTTTCCGCTAGGATTTTTTCTTGCCGGTCAAATGTCCAGACAGCATTTATTTTACCGGACACATTTGAAACTTACTGGTCATGTTTCAATAATAATAATAAGAATTGTGTAGCAGAGTTTCCGTTAGCAGGTAATTACCGGACTATGACCGGATATGCTGATGTTTAAAACTCAGTTAATGGGGCTCATTTTTATATTGCTTCAGTTTATAATCGTAACAGATCGAAAAATTCAGATTCATTTTTCAATAAATGATTCCACAAACAACAAACAACATAATTATTACATTCAAACAAACTACTTGTAGTAGATGAAGTACATTATTCAAAAGTTTACATTAACTTTGTATAATAACACGGGAGAAACGGATCCTCTCTTTTTCCCTCTCCTTCCCTCTCTCTCCTGACAGCCCGCCAGTTTCTCATGCAGCGCGCTAAACAGTGGGTGATTATGCAGAGCTGCGTGCCTCCGTCAGACTCCGCAGCTGATCTGATCTCTCTCTCGCATCCGGTTATACTTCACTCGCGTTTATGTCCTTATCGATCAGATCCAGCTCTCCTAAGAGTGAATATCGGCCGATAATGACCGGCGGCCGATCGATCGGAACATCCCTAATTATTACCGGACATTTTGACCGGCAGGTTTTGAATTTACCGGTTTTTAATACATTTTACCAGCTAAAAAACGGTAATTACCGTCTAACGGAAACCCTGATTTGAAAGTAGAAATGGACCAAAGACAAGGTCGAGTGGCTCACCATAACTAGATTTGAAGCTGATGCCGCTGTTGCGGAGAGCAAAATTAAGTCAGTTTTTATAGGTCGAAGAGCACTGGAGGTCAGACCAGATTCAGCTGGAAGGAGTGGGTCAGGCTGCACTTTATTGAAGAAAACATAGCTCAATACATACACATGGTACATAGTGGACATCAGTGAGTTAGCTTGCTAAAACCTGAATGTCTCGCCTCGGTGTAGCCATTTTTCCATGGTCTGTCTTTTGGCCATTGTTTTTGTGTGGAGATTTTTAGATTGAAATAGGAACAGTCAATTATGTGGCGTGGCTACTGCGTGTCAAGCACCAGATGGTTTGTTACACAAAACCATCTGAGAAGCTGTGATTGGAAACAGTGTGGAAAAGGGAAGGCCTTTTAAAAATAAATTGGCAGGTGACTGGATGAACCATCTGTCAATCAAACTCAAACCCAAAGCCAGCAGTTTTAAGAGTGAAAACATATTTTCCATAGAGAGAAAAGCCTTGTTCTACTTTCAATGAAGAAATGCTCTTCAGGTCTGATATAACTGATGCCCTTGCAGCATCTACGCTAACTTCTTCAGCCGGTCAAAGTCACTAGTCTGTATTCTTTCACAAATCTATTTTTATTTGGTTTGACAAAAAAACTGGTGCAAACTCAACTGTGACTAGTAGTATAAGACAACATACATGTGATTATAAGGACCCAAAAGGCGAATACATTCTAATATTAAACACTGGAGTTAGTGTATAGCCAACAACTTTAGCTTGAAAAATGAATTGTCCAAGAATGCTTTTCTGTGTCCAAATACAAAATGAGTTGATAATATGCAGCTATCCAAGCTGTGCCCTTTTGCTAACTGACTGTTGCCACATACTCGAGTATCTCATCACCTCCATTTGCATCATCATCCGTATTCATCACCCTGAAAATCTGAATATCTGCCATTTGTCACCTCCGCTGCTCGAGCTGCGTGTGCACTAGCAGAAAGACGGCGAAGGCAAGGGAATAAGATAATGATGACCACAGAGAGATAAATACTGGGTGGATAATATGCAGGAGGGTGTACATGCTTGGGTGTGTGTCTATTTTTCTATATAGCACTCTGCAGATGAATGCTGTAGGCTTTCTTTTCCGTGGTGCCACACTGACAACTCGTGGTTATTTACAGAAACTACATGTAACGACATGGCATTTATCAAGTGTTGAAGATAAGAGTTCCAATACAGGCTGAATAAAATTGTATTGATGTCACCACCTTGACCCATTTGTTATGTGTCTTTAAACTACCGGTATTCATCTCCATTCCTAAAACTAACAAAGCATTGTTTTGACCCTCTCTGCTGCCATATAATTCCTTTGTGCTTGCTTGGGTAAATTGGTGGATATAAGCACAAGTCAGATCACAATATCTGCATTATACATGCATCATTCTTTAATTTGATGTTAAAAAAAATCAGTGGCTGATAATACTCTAACCCTAACTGAAATCAAGTCAATTAAACTAATATAGAGCCTCAATTTAGATACGATTTATAAAACGATTTAGTGGGCAAACAAATGGAAACAAGACAGACAGACATGCCAAATCTGCTATGTACCTAATAGACAAAAGTCACAAAAACACAATCAATAATAATAATAAATAGATTGTAGTAACATGTATAAATAATGTTATTTCTGGAAGATGTCTAGCAACTTCCAGGTGCCGCCCATCACACACACATTCAGGATACTTTTTTAAAACTATGTATGCTTCTTGTCACAGCTCAGGTCTTTATTCCAGTGCTCTCAATCAGTGAGGCAGCAGAGTGAAGCTTTTAAAGTCTATTGAAAGCATGAATGTCACAAGTCCAACAGTCCACCTTGCAATACATGCATACTGCACCTGAACTCCTGAACTCAATGCAGTAAAGACAGTTTTATGTAGAACGATTAGTTTGTTCTGGTCCATCTCAATTGCCCACTCTCGCCCCCTTGGTCTGACTCATCCATCCATTCAGCCCTCCATTTGTTAATTCATCCACTGGACATGTGCGCAGGCAGTTGTCCTTTCACATTAATGTTATATTTGTAATGCCTGCTACTACAGATCATCTTTCAAGCCTTTTTATTTCTCCTATATATCCCTAGATTTGGCATTTTTTTAAGTTGAAATAATCAGTACAGAAATGGGAAGATGTAAAAAGACTAAAACAAATTAATAAAAATGTGGCAAAATGAAATAAGCCTCACTAACTGGAGCTCCTAAATCAATTTGAAATCTCTTGTAAGATGAACACTGTGTACACATTGTATTTGATTATCAGTCACAGAGTTAGAGATGAGCACCTCAACCTGATACCCTGAGATTACCATCCAGCCTGGGGGGAGTGTAAATGTAGCCCCATGATGAGTTATTGAAATGGGGGTGCATAAAGATTCATAGAGCACCCAGATCTCCTTTCCAAAAAGTCAAAGCTTTTAATTTTCTGTTAACTTTTCTCACAAATGTAAAAAATGTGTGTCTGCTTCACCACCAGAGGGTGAGCTATTTCATGCTTCGGGCTAAGTGCGTCACCAGAAAACAGAATTTGAAAGATGTATTTAAAGAACACGTATGAATAGGGGAGAAGGAATGAGGCGCATTAAGAGATTTTTGGTGTTTAGTGGGATTCAATGTGTTGCTAAACAGTTGTTAGTGTATGTATATGTGTAGAGGGGTTCTTTAGACAGTAATCACAGTAAGCATAATTACGGTAGCCATAAATTGGAGAGAAAGCTTTCAGCAGTGAGATGTGCTGAACATGTTTAACTGAAAATGTGCACCAGAGGGCGCTCTCAGCATAATTTTGAAATGCAAAAAATAGGAAAACTCAAACTGCCTCCAAACTTTTTAAGCACTTCAATGTTGATTTTTATACAGTTGCATTAACTTTTTCTTACACGGAATAAATAAACAAAGAGTACTTTATTCTCAAAAAGAAGGACGGTTTCTGTCTGAAAGGCACATTCAATTCACTCAAATACTACATATTATTTTTCTCCTGATTTATCTTGTGTTTTCATCTCTTTATGGCTACAGGAACGTTTTTATGTTTACATAATGTAAATTAAAGTGTGTATGAATGTGGTTTTGGAAAGAGATCGGCTCCGCTATTTTGCTCCTCAGTTTCGTGTCAGTTTTTGACCTGTTGATTTCTCTTCCACAGATCCGGGGCTTTCTTTCAAGGTTTGACAATGTCCTGCCTGCAAGCATGGCCTTTGACAAATGCACCGCCTGCTCACCCATTGTAAGTAGCATACATTGTAACTGAATAGTTAAAATTACGTGTCATAATATCAATTTTATAAACAAGAATGTGATTGAACAGTATAAGGAAGATTGACACCGATGCAGATAAGCTGGTTCTGATTTACTTATCTGATTAAATTCTGTTACTATGTAACAACATTGTTTTGAAACACAAATTGCAGCCTTAGCAGAAATATGGGGGAATCCCGTCTCCACCATTCAGTCAGTGGAGCTGTGTTGAAATGTTGTTCCTTGAGGAATACTGAAGAGACACACACACACGCACACACACACACACACACACACACACACACACAAGCACACAAGCTGGTAAAACCATATGGTAACAATCAGGCAGCAGTTGCTCATTGATGTCAGTGACTGTCGTATGAGTGGAATTACCTCCCACCACTGCTGTGTGTCTGTGTGTGTGTGTGTGGGTGCATGCACATGTGAAGACGGCTTGTTGAAGGGTCCACATAACCCAAATCAGCCATGCGGGGTGGGAGAAATAGCCGTCGTGTCTTTTTACCGCGTTGTCATTGGTCCACGGCCAACTGGCAAATCATTGCCACAGGTGGCCTAGTGGTTAGCAGCGTCCAGTGCTGTGATTGGTTGGGCAACACTAGTGTAAGACCAGGGGGGGGGTCCCAAGTTAGAGAGGGAGAAAGTAAAAATAAAGAGGGGTGGGGGGGATTAGGAGAGGAAGTGCAGGGCTGAAGAAAGGGTGTTGTGATGAGTGGAGGGCTGGGTCTCTCTCTCTCTTTCTCTCCTGATCTCAATGCAGTCTTTGTGTCTATAAAGAGGTCATAAAGCCCCAGATCTATCACTTTCATGTGAAGAGTGAGAGAGAGAGAGAGAGAGAGAGATAGAGAGGGGGAGGGAGCTGGCTAGCTTGTCCTTTAAAAGTTTTAAGTTTTTCTCCACCTAGCTGCTCCTGAAAAAGAAAGAAAGAAACAAGTCTAAAGTTCCACTCCATCTTTAGGTGTCATGTTTCTGCCCGTGTGACTGATGAGATTATTCGGCCAGTGCGGAGGGTTCATGAAGTTTAATAGGGATTGGGCTAAAGCCTGTGTAGTCCGAAACAATGAACAACATGAGTAAGGAAAGACGATCCTCTGCCGAGGCAGGGATAAAGGTTATGTAGTGAAATGTGTGAATATGTTTGATTTAGTTAATCCCACCCACACATTTTCCCGCTCTGTTGTGCATTCGCTTATCTGCCTTTCACTCTTTTTCTTTTCTAAACAGCCTACTCCTTTTTTTTTCTCCTACCCTCTCTTCCTCTCCTCTGTCTCACCTTCACTCCCTTCCTGCTTTCCCTCCCCCATATCTTTCCTCTCTTTGTGCGTCCCATCAGTCCGGTCATTGTAATGTGTGTGTGCGGCCTGTCTTTGGCGTGTGTGTGAGCCAGTGCATGTCTGTCTGTGTGTATTCCTGCTGCAGTCAGCTGTGTGCTGCCAGGTCACTATGGAAACAAAACAATTCAGCCCCTGTCTGGACTGGAGCGGTTCCTGTAGAGTTGGGGCTTTTTACTGTGTGTGTGCGTGTGTGGGTGTATGTGTGTGTGTGTGTGTGTCTTTGCATGAGTGTGTTTCCTAACTCTTTCTGGGGCTGCAAGCCAATAAAACAACACGCCACAAAGTAAATCACAGCTGACGTGGCTTTGTCTTAAACCATGCCAGACACCTCTTACTACAAATACTTGTACTAACACAACCAAATATTCTACCAGTATTAATAGCAAAACATTTTTTACATTTGTAATGACGCATATTGAACTGGTAACTGAAACATCTCAGGGTTTCTCTGTAAAGTTATTCTGAGCTTTAATATCTAGAGCTACTTAACATTAATCATCCTCATGTCACAGATTGTAAAAAATGTAAACCTGATTTTAATGGGGAATGTCTTTTTCTATTGTTTTTTGGTTACATTTTGTATACAGCATCTATCCCATTTAAATGTTATGGAAGTAAAAAACATTGTCAAAAAAACAAACCCTTTAAAATTTAGATAGGTGGATAGATGTATACGGCAGTGTCAAGTAATAAACAGTACAAATATTAAAAGAAATACAAATATAATACAAATTTACATGCAAGTACATTTATTAAGAATAACAATAATTAAAAATGCAAAATAATTAACATTAGCAGCAAGTATAACCGAACTACACTGAAACCGGCTATGAATTAGGTCTGCTCTTCAGTGTGTCCAAGTAAAGTGGCCCCCTTACTGTATGCTGCCTAATAATACATTTTAAATCTGAAACAATGATTAATATAATTAGTTAGTTTATCAACAGAAAATGTTGATAAATGAAATCTATTCATTGTTAAAGTCTATGATAAAGCAAAATTATAAACGCTTTGTTCTTTAAACTTGCCAGATTTTAGGATTTCCTTTCCTCCTTGTCCTAGATAATTGTAAATTAAATGTGTTACATTTTCAGATTGTTAGTCCATCAAAAAAAGCAATCTGAAAAGCTCAACCTGGACTGTGGGAAATAATTGATATTAACCTTTGTACCAGCACACCTTTCACACTAGGTGCAATTCCTGCAAATGTCATAACTCATTTTAGAATAAATTACCTGGTTGTACGTTAACCACAGAAATAACTACACATGCTTTTTCCTGTGAGATGTGCTAATTCTCCGGAATACCAAAAGGCCTAAGTGGTTACTCAATGAGTCAGTAGAGAGTTTGTGTGTTTTAAAGACAAGGAGTTTAACCATACATGTTAATGGGGCTAGTCAAAGTTGTTGAATCACCAGGAAATGTTTACTCATAGTGTCACTTCATGGAAAAACCACTAACCACGAACATTTAAGCTTTTGCATCATGCACTGATTTGCATTGACTATGTGACCGTTCATTGTAAAGCGGTTAAATACTTTGAAATATAAGAGTCAACTCCTGTATTTCCTTTACGTTTACATTTCAAGTTAAAGCCTGTCTGAGCCATGAGGACCACCCAATGAATGTTTGATATGGATTCTACACCCCCCACTCCGGCAAGCTCACACATACACAGCCTATAGTGTGGGATACTTAATATCCACAGTATGGATCCAGAAGCAACTTCAAAAAGAATTCATCGCTACTGTCGAACAACGCCCGAGGGTAGAGATTTATGGGTCTCCATAAGGAAGGAAGCTTTAGGACAAGTGTGTACATGTGTGTATACATATGTGTAGCATTACATGTCATCTGTTGATGATTTTAAGTGTTGTGTATCTTGGATTAATCGGGGCTATCCCTGAACCGCATTTAATCCCTACTGAAACCCATCAGCGCCTGATTAACACATAGCAACATCTTGTGAAGTCACATACCGTATATTCCGCACAATGTTTTTCCAAAGTATGAATTATACAGATATGAGATACTTCACTGTTGCAATCTAACCCTCTTAAGAAAAACTGCAAATAGTTTCAGTTCTGCATCAAAGTAAAGGTGCGAAAACACCAAATGATGTTAATTTGAAAATATCTAAATAAATACAGCTTTTGAAAAAGGCACAGTAATCTGCTTCAAATTCAAACAACCCCAACAGTTTTGAGTTGGAACATTTGATATACTTTTTTATAATTATCTGAAACTTATATTGTAGTCACATTATTAAGGTATGAAAAGTTATTGGTCGCTTATGTATACTTGCGATATTGACATAAGCGAATGGTGTAACTTTGTGTCTGTGTGCGTTGCTTTAGAGAACGTTTAATAACCTTATCACAAGACCATCACAGTTATCAAGTTGCATTCTGTGTCGCGAGCGTCTACGCATATTTCAACAAAGTGCACTTTGGCCGTTGGCGTCTCATGTAACGGATCCCGTGGATGGAAGTGGAGAATCACAGAAATACAAGAGGAAGAAGGAAAGAAAAGAGAGGTTGAAAAGATGATCGAGGGACACGTCAGTGTGTATTGTGTGCGGTGTGTCTGGCTCCGAGACTAGACGCCAGGTCAGTCTGCGAACACATACACAAACGCACACACATGCGCACACACACACATGCACAGACATTGATGCACACTGTGTGTTGATGTCTGAGGCAAAGGTAACTCTACACCTGCAGAGGAGGGTCTGTGGGCGTCCATGAAAGGATCGGCCAAGCTTAGAAAGGTAGTCGAGAGGTTAGAGGATCTGTGTGTGTGTGTGTGTGTGTGTGTGTTTTGGAAAGAAGGTGTGGGTATTTGAAGTCAGATCTGGTAGGAGATCAAGGTAAACATGTCGGCTTGTCTTCAAAGGTGCTGAGTTGTGGTGATGGACCAGAGCAACAAGGCTGCATTTTTATTCTGAAACCAATAAAATATTTGTATCATTATCTGCTTTTGAGAGAGTGTTGCTCTTTGCCCTCTCATAATGTTTTAGTGGTTGTGTCGTGATGCATTAGCAAGACTCAGCCCTCCACTCAGAATAAACACATCAGGCTCAAAAAGGACTTTCACCAACTAAAAGCATACAATGTTTAGAAAGGAAAAAAAACACATTGAAATGTCTTGTACAATATGTAATGTTCTGCAGTAAACGGTGCTTTTATGCTTGATAAACCTCACCTTTTTATCAGAGCCTTCGGTAAATAACGTTAATGCCTTAAGCATCCGAATTTGCTGTTATGTAAATGTATAGCATTTAACAGGAAGATGCCTCATTAACAAAAATAACACTACATGTTTCAATGACTCTGTATGTTTCAAATCCTTACGTTCAGTTTTCTTTTTTCTCCAGGTCCTTGAGCACTATGAGAAAGAAGGTTTCAACTTCCTGTCCAATGTTTTTAATTCATCCCACTCCTTCCTGGAGGACCTGACAGGGCTGACCCTGCTGCACCAGGAGACACAGGCTGCAGAGGTAACACACACTCACACACCTGCACAGGTACAGCCACACACATAACCTGCTGCACTGAGACTCAGGCAGGTGTGTCAAAATGAACATGGATAAGGAAATAATGGCAGACATAATATTTAGTTACCTTTTTCTTAACCAAGTTTTACAACAGAATGTCAAAACATGTTTAGCTGTCTTGTCTAACTTTATGTATTTGGTAGTGTTGATGGTTTGTTTGGTGTCTTCTAAACCTGACCGTAACACGAAGAAAGAAAACTCTGGGGAAGCTTCATTGATTTTCTGTCAGAGGTCACTAATAAATACAAATGCACCACAGAGGAAATGCACCAGGACAGAACATTTTTGACTCCTGAGATGCTGAGCTTCTCGAGATATTTGAATCTCAGTTACCACTTTTAAAACAAAGAAGAAGAGGTTGTGCTCCACTTTTCACACAATCACACTCTGCTTTTTGAAGTTTATGAAGGTAGGGATCGTGTAACCAAATAGATGAGTTCATCTCCAATTCCCAGATATTTGTATAGTGAGATAATGAGATAACTTAAAAGTCTTAGAGTGGGTTTTTATCCCAGGCCTTCAAGTTCCTGGATTCTTCACAAGAGAGGGTTAAACAAAGTATTACAAGTGAGTTGGTGTAGCATCTGCAATATACGTTTAAGGGTTTCAATGCTTAGCGTGATGGAACCATGAGCTAGACCAGGAAAAGGGTCAGAAAGTGCACGGCTAGATGGAGCTTGCCATGGAGTTTAATGTCCCTGGAAAGAACGAAACACAAAATCTTCAACCTCTTTTTCATCTTGTGAGAACTGAAACCTATTGAAAGGATTTCATTAGTAGTATTTTGCCTGTTAAATGTTTAATAGGAGCACTGTTTTTCTTTAAAGGCAGAGATATTTTTATCCTGTAACCTTGGTTTAATTATCCTGTTGCCATAGCAGCACAAAGTTTATGTCTATGGAACAACTAGCAGTAAAAGGTTCCAACAAACATCCAGAAAACTTGGTGGTGGAATATGGGTGGTTTTCCTCAAGACTCCCCTCTGACATGAGACAGAAAGGAGAGGTGTGTGTGTGTGTGTGTGTGTGTGTGTGTGTGTGTGTGTGTGTGTGTGTGTGTGTGTGTGTGTGGTGTGTGTGTGTGTGTGTGTGTGTGTGTGTGTGTGTGTGTGTGTGTGGTGTGTGTGTGTGTGTGTGTGTTGTGTGTGTGTGTGTGTGTGTGTGTGTGTGTGGTGTGTGTGTGGTGTGTGTGTGGTGTGTGTGTGTGTGTGTGTGTGTGTGTGTGTGTGTGTGTGTGTGGTGTGTGTGTTGTGTGTGTGTGTGTGGGTGTGTGGTGTGTGTGTAGTGGGGTGTGTGTGTGTGTGTGTGTGTGTGTGTGTGTGTGTGTGTGTGGTGTGTGTGTGTGTGTGTGGTGTGTGGTGTGTGTGTGTGTGTGTGTGTGTGTGTGTGTGTGTGTGTGTGTGTGTGTGTGTGTATTCTGCCGAGCTGTGGGAAAATCCCACGTACTTTCTCCCCAACTCCTTCTCATAACACACAGATGGAGGAGGGGAAAGAAGAGAAAGGCATGGACACGAGGGAGAAGAGGGGAAAAGGAGTGTCGATAACAGAAACATTGAAGGGAAAAAGAGGAGAAAATGGGAAAGAAAATAGGACAGGAGATTATAGAAGAAAGTAAGAGTTAGTAAAGAATATTTTGTCTTTATATCCCTCATTTCCTCTCCTGATATCAATGGTTACCTCACCTCTATCATTCTCTTCATCTCTTGCAATCATCCCTTCCCTCTCTCCCCCCCCCCTCCCCTCCCTCCCCTCACTCTCTCTCTGTTGATGAAGTGTGTTGAAGACTCTGGCGTAGTTTTCTTTCTCCTCGATCAGAAGATGGAGAGATTGTTTTGATTGCTCAGCCCACTAGCGCCAGAAGTCTTAGCGCCTGTTTCCTGTACACAGATTAGCTATTCCAAAAACTACTGCGCTTGGAGGACGTCCCTTTTTTTTCCTATTCCAGGAAGGGACAGACGTTCTGCTCCTGCTCCTGAAAGCATATTATTACTTATGTCATGTGGGAGCCCACTAGAAACAGGCCTGTGGCTCATTTCGGATCTTGACGCATATTTTAAGAAGAACCGACCTGAAATAATGATAATTCTTAATGTACAACAATTAAGGGTTTAAAGGGTCCTTGTGGGATACCTTTTTTATGTGTACATGTTTGAATTGTATGCAGCTATGAGTCATCGTTGTATGATGAATATCAGGCGTTTAGGAGGCTTTTCCTGTATCCTTTAGTCCAGACTTTAAACTGTGTGTCAGCCTTTTCACTTAGGAACACAATAGAGTTTGTCATGTATAACCAAATGTTAGTGCATGCATGTATTACAGTGGATTTAAATGACTTTATTTGCATAATTTGTTATTTTTACAATGCTCTCTTCTTTAAAGAGCGTGCACTGAATTCATTATGTGCGTGTTTTTCAGCATTCAAGTGTTTGAGTAACCATGCTAAACCATAATCTACGTCACCAGATAGCAGTACTATGTACTTATGGTCTATTTTGGGCGAGTTTGTAACCTGAGAACTACTTTTTATGTTGTCACCACAGGGTTTTGGGGTAGTTCAAGTTCGCTAAAAGTTTAGACTGACGAAAGCTGTGTGTGTGTATATGTGTGTGAATGTGTGTGTGTGAGCGTGCACAAATGAGTGTGAATGGTTTCTTTGTCAGATCGGCCCGATTGGGATTTCAAACTCTGGTTGGAGCTTGGCAGTGTGGAAAGTGTACTATGAATCTGGCATCTGGCACATTAGTTGCATGTATTTTAGAGTCTAGCATGAAATGCTGTATCTTAGGTTTCACGAGTGTGGCAAGGAAAAACAAACATGACGAAAGATTTCTAAATATTCATGGCATGATCTGTACTTGTACTGGCCCCTTTTATTCTACAATTTAGTATGGCCTGTTTCTCTGGTATACTTCAGTCCTTGTAACTGTTGCCTCCGCTCCACTGTCAGCCCCCACAGTTTAAAGCCTCAGTATTCTACAAACAAAGAGCCTGTCGGATCATCAACTGAAGCTTCCTTACCGGCGTCATTTGATTTTGTAAACGGAATAAGACAGACAATGTGAGTCATCCCTAGAACAACGTCAGACCAAAACAAACGCCCCAGAGAAATGTTTAAGTGACACAGCATTCTAGTATCTGTTATAATTATGGCTTTTAAAATATATTAAATGGATCTTGAAAGGCAGAGACAAATATTGTTGTCCTGCCAATAGTCGTTTTGTTCAGGCAAGAGGAGGCTATGACGACAAGTTCAGAATATGGCCATTTGGAATAATTTTGTGAGGTTAAAACCCAACGTACTAACTACCCTGTTTAAACATTTTTTTCTCTCCAGTTAGATATTTTTCTTCACTTTGCTTTGACAATTCAGATAGTTGGTCAAATGTTGTTAAGCATATACAACATTTAACAAATTAACCATCCAGAATGTAAACTCCAAAGCTAAGTGGTGTACCATATCTGCGTTCAGTTAACCCATTTAGATCAACCTCCAAAAGTGGTATTGGGGGTTACCTCAACTGATCTCGGTAACCATTTAAACCAATGTTGAAGCATTATGTGAGTCGTAGTGCTGAGTGTTGTGTTGGTTGACTAGCCTTCCTGAGTGTGACCTCACTGTAGAGGTGTGGGTCAAACAAATCAACACACAAACCACTCAAAGAGCCTGAAAGGAAATGAGTCTGTACAGGATGAACCTCTCCTCTAACGCACCCACCCGTTGTCTTTTTTCTTTTCTTTGGCAGTTTAAATTATAAAAAAATACTGTATGTATTATCGATGTAGGCACATATAGGTGTTTGGCTAATCCTCATCATAAGAGGACAGAGGGCAAAGGAGAAGGATTTATAATACAAACACAATATATGGCAGTATTCACATAATAATGACGTAGAATCTTTGCTTCATGTTTGCCGTAGTAATATAGTTATTGTAATGAGGGAAATTGTTATCTTTAATGTACTGTATATTTGTAACATCCTTCAGGTTAAGTACAATTTTGTGGCCATCACTCTCTTGTTAACATTTTTTTAAATATTACTGAGATTTCAGCCTTCAGAAAAACCCCCTACCACAGAAACATGCTGTTTAATCACTGCGTTTTCCCGGTGCCGCTTTACTTGCTCATTCACATGATTTCCAAAAAAAGCCCATCATTGTTGGTCATATCACATATTCCTAATATTATTTTCAGTAAGCGATGCCATTTGCTCGTGTGTGTTCCCGCACATATGAATCTGTCTCATGTGAATGCTTCCTACAGAGGATGTGTGACCCTCTCAGCACAAAGGGTCTTTCTGCGCAGTTCATGTTCCACTCCCTTCCACCTACTCAAACTGAGAGCTGCCAGTAAGTCACAAGATAAAGACGTTTGCGTTGAACTCTGAGAAGAATGTGTCACTTGTCACACATTTGACACATGTTGAGTCACAGATCTGTAATTATTTTGTCCCATAGCTTCAGTAGAACACAGAGAGGGCTCCTATTGTGGATTTGAGTTGTTGAGGGTGTAACCTCTGTTTGTCCAACATGATCCTTTCGCTGTCGTATTTTGAAATGAAATCATTGTTAAATTACCTCAATCCTCGACTTTATAACAGGGGACCTTCCTGGAAGTGTCCAGGTCAAAGACTCCTTTGGGTATGGGGCCCCCAATTTGTTTATTATCTGATGCTCCAGATATCCAGGGCAACTTATCATGAGATCAGGGTCTTGCTCAAGAACTGTTCAACAAGACACATTTACAGCAGGGAGTATCGTTGCACATGGTGATTTAGTTTAAGGGCAATCTTTCCGCCAAGATGTTTTTTTTTTGTGTTACAAGATGATGCCCTAAGTTTGAACCGTACTTGACTTCCAAGTAACATTTTAAAGATAACCTGCGTCTTTGGTTAAAATCCAAGGTCCTCTGTTTGGCCTGATTCCAGTACACAGAGGCAGCTCTTA